AATAACAACCAATTGAGAGAAAATACAACCTCTGTATTTTCTGCCCATAAAACTGAATGAAGAGTCTACTATTTATAAGAGATATGTTCAAACTCTAGAATTAACTTAAAATATGGAAACTAGGTTTAAAATCGCGTAAAATCGAAAAAAGAAGGAAAAATCTACGGCTCGTCGCTCGAGCGACAGTTCAGCGACAGGCGGGCGACGAACTCCGTGTTCCAATTTTGCTCCTATCGCTCGAGCTATAAGCAGGCGTCCGTCTAGCATTCGTCAATCATCTTTTTTTCCTTCTTGGACCCTATTTTGTTATTTTTAAGTCCAATACTCTACAACGCGAAGCCTTAGACCCTATTTGGACCGAATTTGGGTCACAAAACACAACAATTTTCAATTTGACACAAATTCCGGTGCAACGAACGAAACTCCAAAATTTCTCTACCTAAGAAATAAGTCCGACTACAGCGAAAACACACTGAACTCTTCAACCTGAACCAAACCTCTCCAACACTCGAAAATACTTTTTCTCTTTTGCCATATCCTACATTGATAAATGAACCCAATCCCTGGGTTCCCAAAATTCACAACGAATTCAAAATTTAACAAATAGGGTAGACGCACACCCTGTAGTAGAATCACCACTAAATGCTTTGACTGAAGGCCCCTGGCTAGACTCGTTACATTCAACAACTCCAAAAACATGCACATTCAGATTGATATCCCTGTATCTATTTCCAATTGGTCTTTCCTTCGTCGTTAAATACAACGGAACCGCAGACTATGGTGGCAAAGTGGAATTACCCATATCCCTCAAACTCGATAGAGTAGTATACTCCAAAATAGACCAAGAGCCAACTCCCAATGGTACTATACCAAACTGTATATCCACCATGGTACCAAACCTGTGCTGATGTCTCTTAACTGATTCTGTCCAACCTTGCAAGATGTATAATTAAGACTTTTTCCGCCCCTCCAATACAACACGGACACCTTTCTGGACATTCTAGACTCTACCTGTTCTAGAGAACGTGTACCCTCTCGAATCCATGGTACTCAGCAATATGATGTTCTTCTTCAAGTTTGGAACATGTCGAACCTGGCCAAGTGTTTTGATTGTTCCATCTACCAACTTCAACCCGACTATCCCAATATCAGCTACCCGACAAGATTTGTTATTTCCCCTGATAACGACACCTTGCGTCACCATTTCATATGATTCAAACAAATCCTGATTGAGACTCATATGAAAAGCACAAGTTGTATCCAAAATCCACTCCTCGTCAGGCTCGGATTCCACGTCAGAAATCGTCAAAAGATCTCCCTCACTTATAAAGTTCTCTGCGATGTCTGCTTCACCTGAAGTCTCCGATTGTTTCCCACGATTTGCAGCTGAATTACCCTTACCCTGCAACTTCTCACAATCACTCTTGACGTGTCCTTTGTTCTTGTAGTGAAAGCATACCTTATTGCTGAAATCTACCCTCGACTTGCCCCTTCGCCGATCACCATAAACCACAAAAGCTTTATCATCTCTGGAACTACCTCCAACCAGATGCTTCATCTTCTCTTTTGAGAAGAAGATATCATACACGTCTTCAATGGTGAGTGTGTTAAGACTGTATAGAATCGTGTCCCTAAACGATGAAAACGAACCAGGAAGCGAGTACAAAATGATTAAGGTCAAGTCCTCTTCATCATATTTTACCTCTAACATCTCCAGATCAGCGACGATTTCCTTAAACACTCAAATGATCTTCTACTGATCGGCCTTTTACTTTGCGATGAGAATAAAGCCTCTGCTTTAGATGCAATTTGCTAGTCAGGCTTTTGGTCATGCACAATTGCTCCACTTTCAACCACAATGCATCTGATGTCTTCTCCTTCAAGACTTCCTGAAGAATGTTGTTAGATAGATAAAGATAAATCTGCGAAAGTGTGTTGAGATCCTTCCGTTGCTTCTTCTCTGTTGTCCAAATTGTGGGTATCTTATCAAATCTCAACAAAGTATCATCCAAATTCATCTGCACTAATATAGCTCTCATCTTCACTTACCATAGCGAAAATCTTATACTGCGATCCAACAGCGAAATATCATACTTCATGGTAACCATCGATAACAAAAAAACTTCAAACAATCAAATCCTTGCTCTGCGGAACTGCAGAACTTCAGCTCTGATACCACTTGTTAGGAATTTGAGGAGGCGATATGACGCGATATGAAGTACAAACTAATAAACAAGAATAAGATTAAAAAGAAAATAAACAAGAAGGTGAAATTGGTAGAGAAACCAAATATCTTATTAATAACAACCAATTGAGAGAAAATACAACTTCTGTCTTTTCTATCCATTAAACTGAATGAAGCATCTACTATTTATAGAAGACATGTCCAAACCCTAGAATTAACCTGAAATATGGAAACTAGGTTAAAAATCGCATAAAACCAAAAAATAAGGAAACAATTTGCGACCCGTTGCTTGAGCGACAGCTTAGCGAAAGCGGGCGACGAACTCCCTGTTTCAATTTCGCTCCTATCGCTCGAGCTATAAGTGGGCGTCCGTCTAGCATTCGTCAATCCATCTTTTTTCCCCCATTGGACCCTATTTTCTCATCTTTAAGCTCAATACTCCACAGTGCGAAGCCCTAGACTCAATTTGGACCAGATTTGGGTTATAAAACCCAACACATTCTTCGAATAATCACTTCGAAACTCATTTTCTCCGAAACACTCTTTTTAATGGAAGACAAATAGAGGCTAAATAATAGTGGAGTGGACCACACATGTGTTGGATATACCAAGTGGTGGGGATAATTCTTGAGCACGCTTGCTGGGGGAATGTTTCGGGGAGCCCCATCAGATATAAAAACTGCATTACCAGTCAAGCCTAGGCTATAAAAAATGCATGCATCATCATTAAATTGTGAAACATATCAAATTTTTATTTTTCACTTTTTATGTGCAAAACTTATACATGTATATCAACAAGTTTCAAATTTAAAATCTTTATTTACTTCAATATCACGTCGAATCATTCCATTTAATATTTTTAAAATATTAGGAGCGATAAATGTAATTACTTAAATTATGTTCAAGAAGTGGCCAATGCGAATTAACCCATTTATGAACTGAATTTTTCAACTAGATTTCGTCTCTATTTTGAATTCATTTCATAAGACCTCATAGGAGTAAATAGAATAACCGATAAACATTTTATAACTATACTTTTTAATTCATCCTCTCCGATCCAACATACCAAATATGTAACCATGCCATATTTCAATTTTTTTAAGTTAGAAATAAAGAATAATGATCTATTCATTTATTGTGACAAAATGATGCTCTGCTGTACTTATTTATAGATACTTCAATTCTATGCATACTAAACTTACTCTAATTAATCTGTCACCGCAGTAGATTATAATTACATTGAATTAATTTGAGATTTAACAAAATTAACAGAGAAATAAAAGAATTCTTGAAGGTTTTTATCATAAAAAAGAATTTTAACTATTTGGGAACATGTAGTACACTAACCCATGCAGATTACCCTCTCAAAAGCTAGGCCAATCAGTGGTGTACCATGTGAAATAAAGCTAGGAATCATGGGTTGTACCTAGTAATTAATTCTATCCGGTTATTCTTCTACAGATATCTAGAGATCCTGCTTTGCAAAATAAGCTTTAAAGGTTGGAAGAATCTCAAGAAGACCTGACAATTATGACCTGTTGTTTGCCAGAAAATTGAAAAGCAAAAGGGGGGTGTTTGCCAGAAAATTGAAAAGCAAAAGGGGGGGAAGCAGAAAAGTGATCTGGAGGCAATTCAAGGCCAGCCATCAATGAAACATTTGAATGATCGACACTGTATATGGTCGACTTTACAGCACCGTACAATACTGTAAAAGAAAAAGGTAGATTGTATATAACCTCTTGAAGTCCTAAGAAATATGATTTAAGCTTTCCATGTAACTATGTTAAGATCACTTAACAATACCATAAAATCCCTATTTTTTTCTGAAAACTAGAAATAAATTTTCATGTGAAGAACTGCACAATAAGAAATATAAAGGGACCACAAATCATCTAAATGCACCGATGAAAGAAAAAGCACAGCAAAGAAAGTACTGTGCACACAAAGTAGAACATGGTATAATGACTGCTAATCTTTAGACAAAAGATCAAGTACTATGAAGTAGTGCATTACAATCAGCTATAAAGAAATACTAAGTAAAGAAAGATTCTTCAATTTACATTGATATGAAACAGCAAATTCTTGCAAACAAAAGAAATCAATACCAAGAAGAAATTTGGAAAATAGTCCGAAAGCTCAGAAAGAAAGAAGAAATGAACACATGCACGCAATCTGTTAATTCTGATCATACCTCAAACAAAATCAGTAACTCCCCATGTAAAAAGGCAAGCAAAAGACAATGACTCCACCTAGTACGTAGTATTGAACATGACTCGATTATACGAAGTCCGACCAACCTTACCATGATCCTCCAGCTAACATTCCATTCCAGTACCCATTGGATTCTCCTTGCCCTCTATCCGGCTCGAATTCGGGCGGTGCAACTGGCTTCAATTCCTCGAATGGAAAAAGAAGTCTTGATGGGTTTGTATGATCTTGAACATCTTGCAAATTCTCATAACCATTTTCAAGTCCATCTAGGGTAAAGTTAAGGGTTGGCTTGAATTCATTCAAAGAAAATCCAGATGAATACATTGTGTTGGAATCTGAAACCGGCATCGGCATAAAAGTACTGGTCAGTCCTCTTGAGGTGATCCCTGTCTTGAGAAATTCCATAACTGGAATATGAGATGAATTAGCAGCTGAAGAAGAATTAGGGTTTGCGGGATTTAGGGTTTTCATGTGATCTCCGAAAGGTAAAGCAACAAATTCTGATATTCCATTATAACGACCACTAGTAGGTGGATAAGCTAAATTTAGGTCCTGCCCATCATGAACCTTACGGTTTTGAGAAGAAAAATTTTGTGGGGTCAGATCTGGAATTTTCTTTGATGAAACTGATGATGGGCAAGAAGATCTCTTGTTCTTTCTTGTGCCGCCACCCACTGGAACATTTCTCAAAGACCCCCCTTCAGTCCAATACCTTCTACAAGTCTTGCAAAAGTATCTTGGCTGAGAGAGACTGTAATTGTTGTAATAGCAGAACTTCGTGTTAGTAGAATTGCATCTTGGACAGTTCAATGCTTGTTCCTTTTCAGGCCTTGGCTTCTTTTCTATGGCTGGCCTGGTGATTTCAACTGGATTCGACGAAACTCCAATACCCTGAAGAGAAAAGGAAGTTCGAGATTACGCCCTAATCTCAATTATGAGAGCAATAATGAGCAAAACATCACAAAAACTCGTACAAGCACTCGTTCACTCTCAACCTTAGAGCTACATCCTGTTGCAGGTTTCCGAAGAAGATTGAAGATTCTAACGACTCACGCCAAAAACCTCTCACAAACAAAAAAGTATAAACATAAAGACGGGACATTTTTGAGGGCTAGCTTTAACATTAAAGCAAGAAAAGAAACAAAATTAATTGAGTTTTGAAATCTTTTTTCAGATGGTGGAAAGAGAGAGAGGGAAAAAAATTACTTCGTATACACAAGCAAGAAAACATCTCAAAAGACGAAATTCAAAGGAGCAAAGATTAGTGGGGGCTGATCATCTGCAGATAAAGTTCATAGCTTTAAATTTTTTTACAAACCCAAAGCAAAGACATGCTAAACTCTCAACCCTAGAAAGATGTTATCATGAGAAAAAAACATGGTTTATTTTTTTTCGCTTTACCTGTGGCCACTGAGTAGTATCCATAACACAAGATGGAAAAAGGAAGAGAGAAAAAGGTGTAGAGAGAGTTTTGAAAGGAGCGGAAAATCACCCACTTTTGAGCAGCTGGTTTTAAAGCAAGAAAGCAACTTAAAGGGCATTCTTTGGAGGTTCCATGCTGGTGGTGAGTGGAAATTGTGGGGTGGAGGTGATAGTGTTGTCCACTTGAGAAATTTATATATTAATGCATTTGTAATGTAATCGAATAATCCATTTTAAAAAGAAAAATTGGAGCATTGGTCTCTGTGTTATTGTTCTATTAGTAACTTGATCTTCGATCTTTAAAAGATAGCAATCGGACCACAATGACAATGTCACAAATCATTCAATTTTTCGTCAAATTGTTTATCATGAAAACATCTTCACTTTAAACTCCCGAACACAAATCAAAATTGTGAGGCAAAGCCTAATTTCATACTTTTGAATATGCGAAGATATTGCATGATGGTTAGAAAATACGAAAGATTGAAAAATAATTTATTTATATTAAAAGGTCAGCGATCAACTTGTTAATTATATAATTTTATTTTCATTACATATGTTCATGCGTGCACCTATGGAATTTTATTTGAAATTAGTCAATGCTCTTTTTTGGCAAAAACCAACTAAACTAAGGAAACTTTGAGTTTGGACTTGGAGTAGTAATTCAATTTTATGAATTTATAAAATTCATTTTAAAATTTGAATTTATTGTTTACTTTGAGTTATCATTTTCTACATGCAAAAAAATAGTTTTTATATTTGAGAGATGATTTTAGACCATGGTTCCTTAATGTGAAATTAAGTTCTTATAAGTAGATAATTGCCTTTTTCAGATAACATGATGGTCGAATCTGCACATTATACCCTATTATTCATGGATAAAAGTGTGTTAAAAATAATAATATAAATAAACATAATATTTTAAATAAGTTAAATCGCTTATAAAGTATTTAATAATTCAATCATTACATGTTAAAAATGAAATATAAATAAATAATTTTCTTCTTGAGATTTTTCTAATTAAATTCAACAATATAATGAATTGCTTATTTTCTAACACGAAATATAATTGATTATATGATGCATTGAAGTCATTTTTGATTGTATTACTGATTTACTGTATAGAATGAAATGTTCTAAAGAATAAATTTGAATTATGGTGTTATTTAAACACATACAACATAATTCAATTTAACACAATATCACGAGTAAGGGAATGTTTGGGAAGTGTTTATAAGCTATTTAAATTATAAACACATTTTTAAAATGTGAGCGATAGATAAATATATACTACTTGTGAATTTCTCAAAATATTTGAATAAAATTGATTTAAAAGTTTATAAAGAGATAAAAAAAACATTAACATAATTATGAAAATGCATCATAAAATCAAGGGTAATTGGCACAAAATATCCCCATCGTTACACTCGTTGTGCAAATCGTCATATCGTTTCAAATTTGGCAATTGCACCATCATTTTTCTTGCAGAATGGTCCTTTTCTTCTTCTTTCTTTAATTATTTCCATCAAACATGGGTAATTGGTACAAAACGTCTATATCATTTGTTTTCATTGCGCAAAACGTTCATTTCATTTGCCTTCGTTGGGCAAAATCTTTTATCTTCTATTTTCTTCATTAAAGCATTGTAATCGCTAATTTACTCTCCTCTTGAAATAAACAAATAGAAAAAAAAAAGAAATAATATAAAAAATAAAAATTGCAGATAGAGTTTCAAATTTTTTAATCAAGATTTTAATCAAACTCTAATCCTAACTGTTCTAATTCAAACCTAGATAAGAGGGAAATAATTTCTTTTCTTTTTTGGGAAAAACGATAATTTTTTTTGTTAATATGTATTAAATTGTTTTAAGTGAAATTCATTTTCAATATTTGAAAATTTTAGGGCTCTAACTGTAATTATTTATTTTTTTATATTTTTTCTTTATTTTCTATTTGTTTATTTAAAGAGGTGGGTAAATTAGTTATTTTACAATAGTTTAATAGAGAGAATGGACGATAAGGACCTATTGTGCAATGAAAGCAAATTATGAGGACGTTTTGCACTAATTATAGATATTTGACTAAAGGAATTGACGGAATGAGACGAGAAGAACCAACTCCATAAGAAAATGTTGAAATAAGAGCGTAAATACTAATTTGAAACGATAAAAATGATTTGTGCAAACGAAACCTGCAAAGAACAAAAGTCATTCAACCAGGAAGGAGGAGGATAAAATTGGAAACCACTTTTCCAGTCTCGGCTTGGGAACCAAACCCTAGGGAAGATAACCGATTAGATCGTTGTATCTCGTTATTGTCCATAAATTTTTTTTTTCCGAGATTATCCTAAAATCAATTATGAAATTATTTAAGCAAAAATAGATTTATTTATTCAACTGTCCTTTATTGACGGCGACTATTAGTTATGGACCAGTCCACTTGATATTTTAACATCAGAAAGGAAAACACGTGGCAAAATATGGTGGCGCATAATTAGGGCCTTCTTGAAGCCAAGTGGAGAACGAAACGTTAGTGGCCTTTGGACATTGCACCGAAGAATTTCTCGGAACCATAGAAGTGGGTCCCCGGACATGTGGCTGGACCATCTGGACCGTAAATCTAAGAAGAAATGGCAGATGATTGGACCGCTTACGTCATTATTGAAAATTCGTGTACCATGATGCTGTTGCGTCACACGTCAGCCGAATCCTCCTAATCTCAAAATAATCGTTTAAGAAAAAGGATTTGGCCTTTTGTACATAATTTTTTCACCATAATGATGTTCATACACACACAAGTGGTGGGACCCACTTGAATATTTTATTTGAATAGGTTTCACCATTTGTGCGTGTATGAACACCATTATGATGAAAAAATTATGTACACTAAGCATAGCTCAAAGAAAAATGTCACCTCACACAGTATAAAAAAATTGTCAAATTTAATATCACTGCAGCCATCTTGAAATGAACCCAAAATACCTTCAATTAGTCACTAAAGAACTTGCTCAACTCCAAGTTGAAGGTCTTATTGAACCAACAACCTCACAGTGGGCGTGTCAAGCATTTTATGTTAACAAAAGAAGTGAACAAGTTCGAAGAAAACTCAGATTGGTTATTGACTACAAGCCGCTGAATGCTTTTCTCATAGATGATAAATTTCCTCTTCAAGACAGAAAAACTATGTTTGCAAATCTGTCTAGAGCAAGGATTTACTCAAAATTTGATCTTAAAGCAGGTTTTTGACAGTTGGGAATCAAATCTGAAGAAAGACACAAAACATCATTTTGTTCAAACCATCATTACCAATGGACATAAATTTCCTCTTCCAGACAGCACATTCTCTTTTCCAGAAAGCCATGACGAGAATCTTTGATCCATTATTGCATACAGCTTTTGTCTACATTGATGATATTTTATTATTCTCTGAAGATGAAGATTCTCATGTTGATTTGCTATCCAAATTCACAGATCTTATTAAGTATTATGGTATTATGCTTTCTTAGAGGAAAATGGTTATTGGAGTTAAAGAAGCTGATTTCTTGGGTATGCATATTAAAGATGGTCAGTATTCACTTCAACCTCATGTTGGCCAGGAACTTCTCAAATTTCTAGATGAAAATTTGACAAAAAAGGAAGTTCAACAATTTCTTGGAATTGTTAATTACATGGCAGATTTCATTGATCATCTTTCAGCAAAAATCAGATCGTTACAACTCATACTCAAACAAAACTCTCCTCTTTGGTTATCGGCTCAAACTCAGGCAATCAAAACTATTAAACAGAAAGTCAATGATCTTCTGGCTCTGCAAATTCCTACAGATGGAAAACATATTCTCCAAACTGATGCAAGTGATTGTTTTTGGTCAGCAGTTTTACTTGAGTAAAAGAATGGAAAAAGAAGAATTTGTAGATATAAAAACGGTTCATTTTCAAAATCAGAGAAGCATTATCATTCTACTTTCAAGGAAATTCTTGCATTAAAAAGGGGAATTGAAAAATTCCAGTTCCATCTTATTGGACATAAATCCTTTGTAGAAATGGACATGTCAGCTTTTCCAAAAATGCTCTCTTTTAAGAGAAAGCAGATTCCAAACTCTCAACTTCTCAAATGGGCAGAATGGTTCTCAAACTTTGACTTTGATGTCAAACATATCAAATGAAAACACAACATGTTACCAAACCTCCTCTCCAGATCAAAAATCTCTTTGATCCCTCCTCCATTCATTCCAATCATCTACATGATGGAATCTCAATCTTCTAATCCTTACACTCACAATGAAGTCTTCCCTCCTGAACTCAATGAGCTCATAAGAACCAAAACTCTCAAATCCAGATATAAAGATCTCATGCTCAGATATCAATCCATCATGATAAGGAAAGCTGGAATTGAAACACTTGGTGGTCTTGAATTTCATCAAGATTATCCATTTTTCACACTTTTCCGTTTTGATTCAAAACTCTTTACACTAAGATTTTCAAAAGAAACTCTTTGTTTTCTTTGGTATCTTTTAGAATTTTGGCAAATTGGAATTTCTTTTCATGTCACTGACACAATTAATACCTTTTGTCAAATGAATCTGGATTTTCCACACAGAACAATTGATCATTTTGCAAAAAATTTTTTTGAATGGTTTTATTCAATTTCACACTGGATAAAGATGTTTACATATTTTTCTTTGAAATTTAAAGATTTCAGAACTTCTCGAGATAATGTTTATGTAACTTTAATTTCGACAAGGTTATTTCACTGAAGTAGGAACATATGCTCATTTCTCTCATGTCAAGGAATATGCAGTCCAACCATTCAACATGCATCAAAATTGGGAGCATTATTCAAAGGATTTTCGAGAATTTCAAAGACGAATGACAGAAATTAATCAGACAATCCCTCCACATATTTGGCCAACTTATGAAGATGATGCACTATGGGAAGCTTTACCAGTGGAATACATTCAGAAAATTCAACAGGATATTCAAGTCTATCAGGAAACACATTTCCAG